GCACGAATTGTGCCTTTTCATCTCATAGCAGCTGAACAGGAAGTGAAGCCAGAGCCGAGTTAGCTATATTAGCTAGCATACCAATTTGTTATGGTGTTAAAGGCAGAAAAACTGGTTGAAAATGTAAAATAAGGTTATGTTTTTATGTTCCATGTCCAGCATTCTCCTGTCCGCTGGAGGCGTGGCTTAGGGGGAGACCCTGGAAAAAGGGGACCGACCTCCTATTTTCGCCCAAAATATAGTTTGCTAGCATGGCTTTTTCCCGGAACACAGATCTTACCATTAACAGCCTGTAGTTTCTAAAAAGACTTTACCAGAGGCTGAAACCTTTAACAATGTGACCACATGGTCGCTTACGTTAGTCCGGGTACAAGCTTCGAGGCTCGTCTTCATCTCGCTCATCCTACAATATTTGCTTTTTGTTTAAAGTGTATTTCCCAAAAAAGAAAATCCAGACTTTGGTGTTCTTGATGTTGGTTTCCAACAACATCAGAGGACCTGATTGAGACCAGTAGCTGGTGGCTCCCTCCCGAGCGGTCTGATCAGGTCAGCGTCTACGACCTGTTTCCACGGTGGAACTAATTTAAGAAGACCTAATAAGGAACCGCAGCCCTCCACTTCAGCTCCATCCACAATCAGCCTGTTTGGTAGACGGATTCCTGCAGAACAGGAGCTGAGGAATTAGAACGGTCAGAGTCCTTAGGGGACAAAGCATCAGCCTGCAGATGGAAGACGTTGGTTCCTGACCGTCCCGTCCTTGCTGCTACAGGGTAATAAATGTCAAACGTGTCCCATCAGTGCTAAGGACAATGGTGGAGGCATGTAACCGTCACCCAGTGGTGAGTGGCTCGTACTGAGATGGGCAGATACCCAGGTAAAAAGGGTTCACCAGACACAGCAGCTCAGCATTGCTAAGGCCTGTTTAGTAAGTGTGAGAGGAGAAAATAACATTTTATCTGTAAAGAAGAAGGCGACCAATCAGAGTTAAAGGTGAGATTGTGTGCTTGAACACACAAATGGTAGGAAACAGGCAAAATTGCTCTGAGTAATGTGGGGACAATCAGTGTTTTATCTGAAAACGTTCATCCTCGTCAGACGGGACAGTGTACAGAGCGGCGGCGGTGGTTTCAGCAGAACTCGTACCAGCAATGATTTATGTGGTGAAGAGACGAGCATCATTCACAGCTAAAGGAATAAGTGTTTCATGATCCTATTTCATGTGCTGCAAGTGCCTCCTCCAGACCAGCAGTTTGTTTTTTTAACGGCGGCACCGGCGCAAGGGGGGGGGGGGGGGGGGGGGTTATGACACATCTCATCTTTATGTTAATATTGTTTTATTTGATGTACTCCACTTTGAACTGCACCAATCCAGCAACTGCTGAATTTTAATAACTATTATTAAAGGTGAATACACCAATATTTGCACAAGAATATTTTTTGTTTTAAATTCTCAGTGACACACTTTGCCCCCCTGCAAAGTGTGTCACTGAGAATTTAAAACAAAAATTATTTGTCAATATTTGGCATTTAATTTTTCTTGGCGTCTGGAAAAACATCTTCTGCCCCCCTTTATTTGACTTTCTGTCCCCTTTATTTTGGCCCAAGATCATTACTGGGCTGGCCCGATTAAACTTGTTCTACACCCCTGCTTAGTAGACTTAATGAAGTATTTTTAAGCCAGTATAAAAATGACTGAAACTCAAATATACGTATTTGGCATTATTGACCAACATCTTTGATTTAATTTATTTGTTAAGAACATCAAGATGCATTACAGTGAACATTATAATAAAGTACATGTTTCTAGTGCAGAGTGGAGCCAACCCCATAGAAGCACTGATTTGATCTCATTTCAGAGAAAAATAGAACAGATCAGATGCATCTAATAAATAAAATTACTAACAAACACGGGAATCTGTTTATTTGCTTCGCTGTTCTGGTGCTGAAAATATCACTAATGCAGATCAAAGGAGATACACAGATGAATGCACCTCTTATTTATTATTTGGAAATTAGTGGGTGTGGTTTACATCAATACATGATTTTAAATCTGAAATTGATATGGATTGATCAGAAGTTGCTATGTGTGTTTATTAGAAAACTATTTACAGAGCAGCCTCAGAATTGAGATTAAATTGTTTTGATCACAATAGTAAAGGAACTACAGAACAAGTTTTTCACTAAAATCAGAACATTAATATTTAAGTGCATGAATTAATGCATCTGAACTCATGCAGCAGGAACTAGGAAACATGAAATTCTAGAACCATTTTATTTTAATTTGATAAAACTGATTTTTTCCCAGCGTTGTTGGCATTTTTTCCACACACAGTGTGTGTGTGTGTGTGTGTGTGTGTGTGTGTGTGTGTGTGAGAGAGTGCGAGTGTGTCGGACGGACAGAGCTCCCGGCTGCAGTTTTGTGTGTAGGGAGGGGCGGGCACTCTATGTGACTGGCCAATCACAGAGTGTGAAGACAGTCAGTTACCCAATGAGGATTTTCCTTCAGCACGATTACAGATTTTTACAAGTTTTACTCGTTTCATGCTCGTATTCATCAAAAATGCTTTATCCGTACCGGATACTCGTCTGAAACGAGTATCCGGCTCATCCCTAGCTGTAACCACCCTGCCCTGCCTCCTCCTCCTTGCTGCCTGCTGGCTGTGATCACAAGCAACAACAGAGTAGTTCCCGTTGCTTCTTCGGGAAACGGCGCAACAAAAAAAAAAATCAATTAAACTTGGGATCTTGTAGGCGTGGCGCCGGGATTTCAGCCGCGGCAGGCCGCCACGGCTACGTCTATGTAAGGGAAACACTGAATAAAATAACAAACTAAGTCAAACATTTCATTTGGTGTTATTTCTGACACCCTTGAACTGTGGCATGAATATCAAGCTGCTCAGAGACAGTAAACTCTCATATACAGGAAGTGCAGAATTATTAGGCAAATGAGTATTTTGTCCACATCATCCTCTTCATGCATGTTGTCTTACTCCAAGCTGTATAGGCTCGAAAGCCTACTACCAATTAAGCATATTAGGTGATGTGCATCTCTGTAATGAGAAGGGGTGTGGTCTAATGACATCAACACCCTATATCAGGTGTGCATAATTATTAGGCAACTTCCTTTCCTTTGGCAAAATGGGTCAAAAGAAGGACTTGACAGGCTCAGAAGGGTCAAAAATAGTGAGATATCTTGCAGAGGCATGCAGCGGTCTTAAAATTGCAAAGCTTCTGAAGCGTGATCATCGAACATTCAAGCGTTTCATTCAAAATAGTCAACAGGGTCGCAAGAAGCATGTGGACAAACCAAGGCGCAAAATACTGAGAAACTGAGAAAAGTCAAGCGTGCAGCTGCCAAGATGCCACTTGCCACCAGTTAGGCCATATTTCAGAGCTGCAACATCACTGGAGTGCCCAAAAGCACAAGGTGTGCCATACTCAGAGACATGGCCAAGGTAAGAAAGGCTGAAAGACGACCACCACTGAACAAGACACACAAGCTGAAACGTCAAGACTGGGCCAAGAAATATCTCCAGACTGATTTTTCTAAGGTTTTATGGACTGATGAAATGAGAGTGAGTCCTGATGGGCCAGATGGATGGGCCCGTGGCTGGATTGGTAAAGGGCAGAGAGCTCCAGTCCGACTCAGACGCCAGCAAGGTGGAGGTGGAGTACTGGTTTGGGCTGGTATCATCAAAGATGAGCTTGTGGGGCTTTTCGGGTTGAGGATGGAGTCAAGCTCAACTCCCAGTCCTACTGCCAGTTTCTGGAAGACACCTTCTTCAAGCAGTGGTACAGGAAGAAGTCTGCATCCTTCAAGAAAAACATGATTTTCATGCAGGACAATGCTCCATCACACGCGTCCAAGTACTCCACAGCGTGGCTGGCAAGAAAGGGTATAAAAGAAGAAAAACTAATGACATGGCCTCCTTGTTCACCTGATCTGAACCCCATTGAGAACCTGTGGTCCATCATCAAATGTGAGATTTACAAGGAGGGAAAACAGTACACCTCTCTGAACAGTGTCTGGGAGGCTGTGGTTGCTGCTGCACGCAATGTTGATGGTGAACAGATCAAAACACTGACAGAATCCATGGATGGCAGGCTTTTGAGTGTCCTTGCAAAGAAAGGTGGCTATATTGGTCGCTGATTTGTTTTTGTATTGTTTTTGAATGTCAGAAATGTATATTTGGGAATGTGGAGATGTTATATTGGTTTCACTGGTAAAAATAAATAATTGAAATGGGTATATTTGTTTTTTGTTAAGTTGCCTAATAATTATGCACAGCAATAGTCACCTGCACACACAGATATCCCCCTAAAATAGCTAAAACTAAAAAGTACTTCCAAAAACATTCAGCTTTGATATTAATGAGTTGTTTGGGTTCATTGAGAACATGGTTGTTGTTCAATAATAAAATTATTCCTCAAAAATACAACTTGCCTAATAATTCTGCACACCCTGTATGAACCCATTATGTATTTTATTATTACGTTATGTGTCCTGTAGGTTTTCAGTACTTTTTTAGATTTTGTGAGTTTTTGCAAAGCGTGTTTTTCTCAGCCTGACGTGTGGCTGTTGAACGAGGAACAGATAGTTTTACTTTGTTAAATCTTCTTAAATGTTTAAAATGTTTTGTCCTAACCTGTTGTGAATGGAGAGATTTTGAGGGATGGCAGGTTGTGTCAATTACGTGTTTGATAAAAAGTAAATAAATAAAAATGAAAAGCAATTATCTGACATCTTCTATTTATCGATGAAAACAAATCAATATGAAATAATCGTGATGCATCGGGATTTCTAATCGAATTGAACCACTGACCCAATAATCGTAATCGAATCGAGAGACAAGTGAAGATTCACACCTCTAAATTCCACCCAGTCACACAGCAAAGCTCCTACTCTACGTACTCTAGCTGTCTGCAAACTCCTTCCTCTGATGCAACGGTTCCAGCTTTAATCACCCACATGAGAATGCCCCGTAAAAGAGGCTGCTTACGTGGAGGTGATGGTGCGAAAACGCTCCTGCCCCGCTGTGTCCCAGATCTGTAGCTTCACCTTCTCCCCGTTGAGCTCCACTGTTCGGATCTTAAAGTCCACGCCTATCGTGGTGATGTAGCTACCTGTGAGCAGCCATGCGAGCACAAAAAAACAGACAGAAAACAACAAAGAAGAGGAATTTGAGAGCAGGAAGTAAAGAGTAGAAAAAATGGACGTCACACCACAGCAAAAGGTGGAACCACTCACCTGAAAATGTATTGTCTGCAAATCGCAGGAGGAGACTGCTCTTTCCCACTCCTGAGAATGAAACAAGCACAAGATTACAATAAAACAAGTTTCCAACGAAGACAAACACATTTAAAAAAGTAGATGTGCTCGGTGGCACCCGCCTGGTCAACTCAAACAGAGCAGTAGGGAGCTCTGGGGAGATCTATGTCACTACTGTGAGTCAGATTTTGGTTTTACACTTTATATCTCTGCACCATCAGATGACGACAACATGTTTTAAGAGTCAACAGCGCTAATCTCTGCGTACTCAGACAGTTGGTTCTTCTACACATATTAAGTTTTACACATTACAATGAGCTGGGAGGAGTTCAGGAGAGCTGGGCTCCAAAAACATCTTCATTTGGATCTTAGCAGAGCAAAGAGAGCTGATCAAAGGTTAACAAGAGAAAAAATCTCAAAAATAATAGTCAACAGGTAAAAGTGTGCTGTCTTCAGACAGTTTGACTTCTGGTGTTTGAGCTGTCAGACGGACTCGTCTCATCTCCACACACAGGTTTGTTCCAACAACAATAACCACATCAAATGTACCACCATGTCTCAAACACCGACCTGATCGAGAGTCACTTTCTGTCCAGCAAATCAGAACACTGACAACATCCTGGACTCCACACACGACTTTCACGCTCAGTGTGCAGGGCCTTCTAATGCAATGCTGTAATACATAAATGATGTACTCAGGAGGCACACGTGCGACAGGAACAACATCCCCAACCTATGATGGAGATCCAGGGCAGGGAAAATCGGAAGGTCTAGTCTTCTTCCTTCTTCCTCCCAAGACGATCTCTGCAGAACTGATCTGCCACAATGTGACTGAGGACACTAAGGCTGTGTGTGGGATGTGATGAAGGGTGCGTAGTGCTGCCTTGTCACACAAAGTGAATAGCCAGCTGATGCGGCAGTAGTGCCAGGACTGAAGCCATCAATGGAAGCAAAGATCACTGTTGCATCAAAAGGCTTCCAGCTGGATGAGCCTTAGATGACGCAGCAATGGCTCCATAATTACACCTGCGGTCTGGATCCACCTGTGGCTTCGGGAGTTTGTCTGATGTGAAAGGATTTCACGTTAAAGGAGCAGCACTCCAGCTTTTACACTTCAGCGGCCAGCTGCACCTGATTGGGTGGCTGAAATTAACCAATTGCGAACGGCTAGCTTGCTGAGAAACAGTTTTGCAAATCAAAGGTCCACGGAGGAGCTTAGTTTCCTGCCTGCTAGCAAAACCACATCCCATGCAGCAGCTTCACCAAACCGTGCTGACTCTACAGACACATACACAAAACTCTACTACTTAGCTAAACAACTTTAAAACACCAAAGTAAATGTTTATTTAAAGCAACCAGCCTGGAGCACTGATGTTAGCCTAGCTTCCTGCTAGCTAATATTACATCGCTAATGTGGGACACAAACAGAAAATTAGAGAAGCGGAAGAGCTTTAACGGAGGTAATTTAGTCAAATTGTTAGTTTTTATAGAGCTAAAACCAAGTCTTCGCCTACTGGAACAAAAGTAGAGACCCTGGTGCGACAGAGCCGACGCTGTGGAGGCGCTATCCGGCCTGACATGCCCGGTCCGGTCACACAACCTCCGCCCTGTCACGGGCACTAAAACATGGCGGAGCTGTTCATTCCACTCATCGTTTTCAAGGATAAAATATGAAGCGAAGTGAGAGCCCACAGCCAGTAAACTACTCGGCCCTGCAACGCTACTCTCGCTTACCTTGTAAGAAATAAGAAAAACACAACAAGGCCCACTTCCCGTCCCACATCCCCGGAATCGGCTTACCGCTGTCACCGATGATGAGCAGCTTGAACAGGTAATCGTAGTCCCTGGCCATGCCGGTAGCTGGTGGCTATCCCCCGCCTTTTGCTGCAGCTTCGCTTAGCTTTCTGTTCCGACTCCCTTTAGACCGTAGACATTTACCAGCTCCCAGATCCCCCGGCACACGGAAAACGACTCGGTACCCGATGCTGGAGACGGTTAGACCCCGAGCCGGTGGCGTTTTTTTTCTTCGGGGTTTCGCGGCGTCAGCAATCCACCCTCCGCTGCAAACAGCCGGAAACTCCGCTTCCTTCTCTGGCGGAGCTGCACCCAAAGGAGCCGACGTCACTGCGCATGCTCCAGCCAGAGCGCGGCAGTCCCAGCAGACTGATCACGGACCAGTCGATTCACAACACCTACAGGTGTCAAAGCCCACGTTTACCGAGAATTGTACCCAGTCGAATCATGATCCAAACACACGTCCCCTCCGATGTCACAAACAACTCCTAAAACAATCAGAATAATAAAAACGCATCCAGCTGTTGTGACTGTGTGAGATTAGTGTTTCAGATAACCAGGTAACCTCACGGGTGTGTTGAATACATCCAGCATGACATGCAACTTCTTCACAGAGTAATCCGAGTTTGTAACTTCCTCCTAATGCAAGTTTTCTTTGATCGTGTCATGCTTTATGCATCATGTCTGCTGAACCTGTCCTGTGGTCTTCAAGTCTTTGTGATTCATCGTTTTGTTGTACCAGAATCATCACTGAAAGCATCTCAAACACACGAAATCTTTATTTTGTATTGTCTTTTTACAACAGTATCCAGGATAAGTACAGTTTGTCTTATAGAAAGTTGCTTTCCACAAACAAGTCACACACAATCCAGAGACAGGGCTGATGTTTCCCTAGAGGCATCTTTAACGCTTGAAATCATTTTGATAAAATAGTCAACAAAACATGATCATATCAAAACAAATTTGGCATTTTGTCTCCCAAATACTACAGTTTAGTGCAGGATTATAACCTGCACATCACAAGATAAAAAGGAGTAAGAAACGGGGCTTAAAGGCAACTAAAACGAAGACTGAAAGTTAGAGAAAACAAAAGATACATTTGTAGGGAAAGCCCTTGTGTGTCGAGTGTGTCTGGGGTTCTCCAACTCAGGATTTGTTTTCAGTGTCAGTCAAATTTTAATCAACCTCTGCAGATTTCAGTTTACTGTCAAGTCCTTTTCAATCATGTCAAAATGGTGTCATCGATCTCTTCATTGGAGTCTGGCAGGCTGGCGATCTTCTTCAGAGACCGGCGGTGACATTCTGACAGCAGTTCATTACTAGCAGAGTCCAGAATAGCAGTCATGCTCTGTCACGTAAAAAAGGTAAGAATGAATAATAACCACAGAAATGTTATTATTGATCATGTCTGAATACAATCCCAGAGAACACAGGCTCACCTGCATGGTTTCCTCTCCTTGGCGGAGTTGTAGCAGGTTGACGATGGTGTGATCACTCTGAGCTCTGACGGTGGTGTTCTTGTCCTTGGTGTTGTCCAGCAGACTCTTCAACAGGGGCTTGATGAGGCTGGTATCCATGGGGGGCACTGACGGGTCTCTGAACACCCACCACAGCACTCGCTCTGACACCAGTCTGATGTCACTGGACTGGTTCTGAAGACACTGGGGTTGTCACACACAACATGTCACATAAAAAACTAGTATTACTTATCTCAGAAGTTTTTTCTTCTGCAACAAGACGCCCCACCCCTGGTTCAGTCCAAAATGTAAACCTAGTTTTCTAGTACTACATCCCACCAGTACAATATCCCACCAGTACTACATCCCACCAGTACAATATCCCACCAGTACAATATCCCATCAGTACAACATCCCACCGGTACTACATGCCACCAGTACTACATTCTACATGTACAACATCCCACCAGTACTACATGCCACCAGTATTACATTCTACATGTACAACATCCCACCAGTACTACATGCCACCAGTATTACATTCTACATGTACAACATCCCACCAGTACTACATCCTACCAGTACTACATGCCACCAGTATTACATTCTACATGTACAACATCCCACCAGTACTACATCCTACCAGTACTACATCCCATCAGTACAACATCCCACCAGTACTACATCCCATCAGTACAATATCCTACCAGTACTACATTCTACATGTACAACATCCCACCAGTACTACATGCTACCAGTATTACATTCTACATGTACAACATCCCACCAGTACAACATCCTACCAGTACTACATCCCATCAGTACAACATCCCACCAGTACTACATCCCATCAGTACAATATCCTACCAGTACTACATTCTACATGTACAACATCCCACCAGTACTACATCCTACCAGTACTACATTCTACATGTACAACATCCCACCAGTACTACATCCCACCAGTACTACATGCCACCAGTATTACATTCTACATGTACAACATCCCACCAGTATTACATCCTACCAGTACTATATGCCACCAGTATTACATTCTACATGTACAACATCCCACCAGTACTACATCCTACCAGTACTACATCCCATCAGTACAACATCCTACCAGTACTACATTCTACATGTACAACATCCCACCAGTATTACATTCTACATGTACAACATCCCACCAGTACTACATCCTACCAGTACTACATCCCACCGGTACTACATCCTACCAGTACTACATTCTACATGTACAACATCCAACCAGTTCAACATCCTAGCAGTACAACATCCCACCAGTACTACATCCTACCAGTACTACATTCTACAAGTACAACATCCCACCAGTACTACATTCTACATGTAAAACATCCCACCAGTACAACATGCCAGCAGTACTACACCCTACCAGTACAACATCCTACCAGTACCACATCCCACCAGTACTACATTCTACATGTACAACATCCAACCAGTTTAACATCCCAGCAGTACAACATCCTACCAGTACTACATCCTACCAGTACTACATCCCACCAGTACTACATTCTACATGTACAACATCCAACCAGTTTAACATCCCAGCAGTACAACATCCTACCAGTACTACATCCTACCAGTACTACATCCCACCAGTACTACATCCTACAATTTGACGATTTTTACTCAAAATATGTGATCAGTACACAGTGTAAGTTTGCCTGTATGCTCCACAGAAACACAGCTCAGCACAAAATAGTGATCAGTTTTATGGCTTTTTGTCAGACTCTGAACCAGGAGATTGCTGCAGGCAGTGAAGCAGAAGGCAGAAAACTCCAGAGCACCCAAGGGGTCATTATGGTCTACATTTTTTGAAGCCAAGGAGTGACTAAAATTGCAGTTGAACTCTCATCCACTAGGGGCTGGCAGCAGACGAGAGCAAATCCTCATTGACTCCCATGTTAAAAATCCCATTTTCACAGCAGAAATAAACACGTTTACAGCCTGGTTCAAAAACCCATTTTAGGTTTAATAGATCTAGTTTACAGTCATGACAACTCAGAAGGGGGTGGATGCTTTTGTAACTCTTCTGTTTAAGTGTAATTTAATGCTTAAAATTCTGAATAATTATTGAGCATCAGAGGGGCCTCACAGCAGGGCCTCCAGCCTCCAGCAGTGGAAAGGCCTCGGCCTCATGTTAATAGATGTTCGGCCATTTCGACTCTCTGAACTTTAGTTTTGTCTGTGTGTTCCTGTTTGGATGTTAATCATGGAATCATTTGGACAAAGAGGGCAAGCTTTGGTTAATGACTGCACTAACAGATCATCCAAACAGTTTCTGCTTCTTTTTATCAGTAAGTAAAATTATATTTCTGTACTTTATTTTGCTGGTTGAATGGGGAAAATGTGGTTCATTTAACTGCTTAGTCAGACATGTTAGTGGGGCTGCTGGCTGGATAAGCGATGCCCGTCTTCCGTTTCCTGCCTGAGACGAGTAGCAAGAGCAGGCGACTGGCTGTTCCCGTTTCCGGGGCAGCCGACATGCGAACCGGCTCAGATGCCTGGTTGTAGTCATGCTGGTCACTTGTGGATTTCTGAGGTAAACCACAGAAACACCGCAGCTTCTTATGTTGATGCTGCTTTACTTTTGAGTCGCTCAACTGCATTTTTTTCTCACTAATAGGTTGCTAGTTTATCATAACACTCTTTGGTCTAAGATGGGTCGAAATCGGTTGAAATATAATGTGTTGGTGTGGCTGCTGGGTATCTGACCGAGGATCGGGCATTGCTGCTCCACCGCAGTAAAAGATCTGCGAGTCAGCCGTTTTTGTCTTCGGTCGGGAGCGCTACACGATAACATGAGCTGAGTCCCAGAGCCGTGTGCGTCGACACTGGCGGACTTACGGCTTTTTGACCATGGTGCACCAGCGAAGCACGATATCCTTGGTCAGCTTACCTAGTTATAATTTCTTTACTAAGCAGGCCAGAGTTGTCTTCATGTTTAAGTCGTTCTAACGCATTTTTCTTGCAAAAAACGTCCGAAAAAACTCTGTTAGCTTCAGGTTAGCATGCAGCTAATGTCCCGCTTATTTCTGACATTGGACAATGAGCTGATCTGAAAAGCCAGGGCTCCTGGTCACAGCGGTCTGGCTCTGATTGTAATTTCACAGGCCCAGTCTATATTAGATCTCCACAGGTGGCCAGCATGACTACAGCCTCGAACTGAAGCCGGTCGGCTGTGCGAATGGGCTACCCCGCGGTCCCCGGTGCAATTCTTAGCTTCTTGGGTTAGCTAAGTTAGTTTGTAGCAAGAATGGTTTAATTTGTTCCAACCAAGCCCCGACAATGCGGGTGAAAAATTGAAGCAAATGCGGAAATGAAATATATTGCAGTTCCACTCTCATCCACTAGGGGCTGGTGTCAGAAGCGAGCAAATCCTCATTGACTCCCATGTTAAAAATACCAATTTCACAGCAGAAATAAACATGTTTACAACCTGGTACCAAACATGTTTTTGGTTTAAATGATCTAGTTTACACTCGTGACAACTCTGAGGGGGGTGAATTTTTTCTCACTCTTCTGTTTAAGTGTATTAAAAGCCTAAAATTCTGTATAATTAATGAGCATCAGACCCACGTGACCACAGAGCTAGCTCCAGGGAAAGGCCTCAGTCTGAGCCTCGGCCTCGCCTGAAAACTGTCCAGTGTCATTTTTAGTCTCTCAACTTAGACCATTAGTTGTAGCGTTTGTGCGTTCTTTTTCATTATTATTATTATTTGTGCAATTGTTGGACAAAATGACTTGCTGTGGCAATGGTTATATAAAGGGGAAAATTGCCAAAGCCATAGGTGTATTATATAGAGTTAAGTTTCTACTAAATTTGTCGGGGTTGTTAACATTGTATCACTCACTGATTGAACCATATTTATTTTATTGTTTAGAAATTTGGGGAGCCACTTGCAAAACTTTTACACAACCGTTGTTCATTTTGCAAAAAAGAGCATTGAGAATCATTAATAACAGTAACTATAGAGATCACACTAATCAATTATTCATTAGATACAAAATACTGAAATTTCCTGACTTGGTAGAGTGGAAAATATTGCAAATAATGTACAGAGCGAATACGAGTAATCTACCAACTAATATTCAGAAAATGTTTCATAAGAGAGTAAGTGGGTACATGTTAAAAGGAACTGATGTCTTTAAGAAACCTAGATTCAGAACCAAAGTTAGGGAATGTAACATTTCTGTAAATGGTGTAAGATTGTGGAATGCCATTAACAAGGAATTTAAAGAATCAACTACACTTGCAATATTTAAAAAATGTATAAAATCTAATGTATTTAGTAATTATGAAAAGGAGAATTATAATGTCAAAGATTAGACGTGAAAATATTAGAAAGTGACTGAGGTTACACTGTGTTTGTTTGGCGGATAATTTTATTTCATAAAAAGGGGCAGAAATCATAAGATTTTTTCTTCTATCTGCTCCTTTTCATTCAAATGTTTTTTTTCAATATGTTAATGTATCCTGTATTTGTTTGTGTTTATTTTATACATTGTGAATGAAATAAAAGATAAAAAAAACAACTAATAATAGAGCGTCCAAGGAGTCTCCATTTTTTTCAGTAAGTAAAATTACATTCATATATTTTAGGTCACTGCCGAGCTGAGCTTAGATGTTAACATGTACTGTTTAACCATGAAATTTAAATGTAATAGGGTAAAACCCAGTGCATTTATCATAATGCTGCACTTTAGAAAATGGGTTGAAATATAACATGTTGGTGGAGCTGGGTTCCGACTATCGGCTTGTGGAGCTCTCGGGAGACCGATGTTTTCCACCCGGTTCTCCCCTCCCCGCAGCCCGGTGCATCTCTGTCTGATCGCGGCTTCTGTCTGCTGCGCGGGCTGCCGGCTTGTGGAGCTCTGGGATGGAAACCTTTCCACCCGGTTCTCCCCAGCGGCAGCTCTGCGCATCTCAGATCGCAGCGGCACTTGTCTGCTGTGCGGCTGCCGGCTTGTGGAGCTCTCGGGAGACCTCTGTGTTCCACCCGGTTTTACCCAGCCATCAGCCCGGCGTACAGTAATCCCTCGTTTATCGCGGTAGATGCGTTCCAGACCTGGCCGCGATAGGTGAAAATCTGCGAAGTAGGGACTCCCAGCATGCCCCTCACGGGGATTCCCTCCACGTCGCACCTACGTCACAAACCGCGGCT